ATGCTTAAATGGAGGTAAAGTCGACAATAATATGTTAAGTGAAATGTTGTAAGGATCAGTGAAACGCTGGCCCAGACTGACTGTGCTTAGAGCGCCAATGGTTAAAAAAAAGCTAGCTGGTGATTCTCTATACATAACTAAAGGAAACAAATCGCTGTTACATGCCTTCTTTTATCTTATTATGTTCCTTTAGTTCTTTAGTTTTAGCAAAGTTATCCCTGTTGAAGCCACTAAAACTAAAAAAGACAATAAACATGCTCCTCAAGTGAGTGCAAGTGTTAGCATTTCTCTTTGTCTTGTTATACAGGATGCGTGTCACTTGGGGAGAAGAGCTCCTGCAGGATAATTAAAAGAAGTGTTAATTAAATAAAACGTTCGAAGCAATGTTTCCGAAGGCCACCTTTCCACTTGAGATCATACACTGGTCCCTTGGGTCTTGCAGTCATGTGTGTAATTAATGCGTATGCCCAATCCTGCAAGTCTGTAACATTTGGAGTAGGGTTCTACCTCCAAGCGTACCCCATGCTAGATGTCTGCTACTCTGTTAAATGGTTTATTAATTGAGTTGTCACAACAAAATCATTAGCACATCCCCTCCCTCTCAGTTTCTCATTAATGGGCGAACTGATTGTTTTATAATCTGACGTTATTGATTGCGTTTTTGGTGAGTATTCAGCAGGTACACAGAAGAGCTCCAGCTGAACTTCCTAAACAGTCTGTGCAGAATGATTGCCTTGAGCTTGTAGTAAGTCTAACTTATCTACCAGTCCAACAAATGTACTGAATTATGCATCATGTGATATAGAAAGAGGTAAATGGTTTGATTCGCTAGAAGACAATCATAGTCTTCTATAGGGAATATGGTCCCTGTACCGCAAATTACAGTGCAACTTTGAGTGTAGAAAATTTGAGACTAATTACTGCTTTCTTACGCTGTCAGGACTCTTAACAGCAAACACTGACTGATTGGTGTCTCTCTCTACCTCAATCAGTAGACACACTGTGCACTTTACTGCATCTTCTGGTTTTCAATCCCTTCTTCCACCCTGCACTAGTATATTGTTACTGTCAGTATAAAGTCTTGTATCTCCAAAAAAGTAACTTTAATAAAAGTTGTTTTGAACCATTTCTGTTGGTCCATTCGTTGGTTATGTTACTTTTTTTCTATTATGCTTAAACAAAAACAGAATTAAGATACAAGGCTGTTGGAACAGAACCATGTATCTCTAAAAGGGCAACTTTACAAGAGAAAAAAAAAAAACTCTCCTCCTTTAATGGATTTAGTGCAGGACACTATGTGAAACGTGGAATAAAATCATTGCATTTATAGTTTTTGGTAGTTTTTTTTAAATGCAGCGCTACTGATGTGTGCTGTTCCAATGTATCAAACCAGTGACGAACAAAATATTGTGATATGTATCATGTATCATTAAAATATTTAGATTATGATATATTTCTTGCCATATCACCCACCACTATATGTTTTTAAAAGTTAGGTAAAATTATGCACACTGTACTGCGGTGCTTATTTAGAGGCACTTAATGACATTGAGAGTTCAATTTAAAGTGTCCAGTTTAGCTGTGTTACTGAGCTGCACTATGTTCTAGCTCATTAAAGATAAGCAGGTCGGAAACTATGACAGTGGAATTTTCAATGTTAACGTAACAAGTTAATGTAACAAGATTTTATTAGAAGTCATTTTGGGCCGTTTGTATTTGTTGATTTGTCAAGAAATTTTGACACAGTATAAAGAGCAGCTGGCATTTTCAAATTATGAACATTAAAAATAAAAAAATAAAACACTATAATTATATTAAACATTATAAAACATAAAAAAATAACAAAAATGGAGATACAAGGTTTTGTTCCGACAGCGAAGATATACTTTGTCAGAACAAAGTGTCCTGTCTCCAGAATGGTAACTTTACAGGAGAAAGTACTTTTAATGTAAGAAAATGTAACAAGACATTTTTCCAACTAATTTTGGACAATTTCTATTGAAGCTCACACACAATGTCAATGGAAGTTGGCATTTTTAAATCACACAAAAAACAATTATGATCATATTATTATTCTGCGCTGTACTGGGACGTCTTCTCACATGCATGTACCTAGCTATTAATTTAGCCATTCATTCCTGCCATTTCCACTTCACTCTGCTACACATCTGTACTGTTTGGTGCCCTTGAGCTTATTTATTGTTTCTTTTTGTGCAATACCCTCGTCCCTTCCTGCCGCCACCATGCTCTTTGTGCTGCAAGTCTGTGGTCTGTAGGTGTATGTTGTTGTAGTACAAGGATTTCATTGTTTCAGTACACCTTCTCTAGACACTGCTGTAATCTGTCCAGCAATTCGTCAGAGCTTAGTTATTTTAAAACATCACTGCTTTTGCTGTAATGAAATTTAAGAATATAATTATTTCTTGTTGACAGCTTCAAAGAAAAGATCATGACTTATGATTTTTTGCCTCTAAAGGAATGCTAACTGATAATATGAGCATTTTCAAAACTAATAAAGATATGCACTGTCTTTTCAGTAAAATGCACGTTGATAGTGGACATTGTGAAAAGTGTAGCAGAAACAACAACTAAGCTATGCCAGAACTAGTGCGGTGTTTACTGACAGCGATGCTAAATGCACTCATTTTGAAGAGTGTTAATATTCTCCATTGTGTTGCAACGTTCAAAATAACTTTCCAATTTTAGTGATTTCTGACTGAGGCTTTAACTGACAAATGACTGAACCTATAGAAACACCCATTTTGGTTTGATGTCACAACTGTCTAAATCCTTGATTCATACATGCCAGCATCCAAAATGGCATATGCATGATAATTCTACCAAATGTGCCTCTAAAGCCCTCCAAAAATGTCTCACAATCCTTCATGTAGGCTGTAAAGAGTTGCCAAAAAATGGGACTTTATATATTGAATTTGCTACCAGTTCAGGCACAAACATTTTAAATGCAAATATTTTAAGCAGCAGAGTTCTTGCTTCCATAATTATATATCTCCATATGTTATTTAAATGTACATATTCTATTTTCCTATTTTTATTTATGTTTGTCTACTTATAACAATTTTTGTTATTTTGCCTTTAAGACTGATATGTAAATTACCTCCATCCTGATTGGTTGCCTTATATTGTTAAAAAAGCAGAAATTAAGGAAACAAACTGTTAGGTTTAGACTGAAATCTTCAGACATTTCAGAAAAAAAAATAAAATTCACCCTTTTGGATGTTTACATTCTTTGGAAGATTTGAAGGTTGAGTTGTATGTTTGAGCGCCCCTCGTCAAATGACATTTTGTTGATGTTCTAAGTGAAAATTGGTTAGCACATCCTCTACAGAGAACACACTTCTGCACATTTTAATACAAAATTGCTGTTTATTTGCTGAATTCAACATATTAGAAATAAGTAAAATATAAAATGTGGCCTGCGGAAAGATAGGGCACACTTTTATGTTTTGTTTTTTTTTTCAATATGTTAAACAAAGGCAAAAAAAAATCTGCACTAAAAGTAGCTGAAATGTTCTCTGTAGAGGCTGTTAACTTATTTCCACTTAGAAAATCATCAAAACATGTCATTTTAGTAGCAGTCAAACTTTTGCATATGAGTGTAATCGTACTGCAGATCGTCTGCAGTAACAACACTCCTAATCACTTCAGTGTGAATGGGCAGGCTAATGTGCTGTAGGTTGAACAGACAGTCATATGTAAATGTATTCAAGATTGTGACATCATAACCATGACAAATTTAAAGTGAACTGTCTTTCCATATTTGGACATTTTGAAACCTGAACAGCGTTTACATGTTACTTCAAACTCACCTCCATGATACAGGCCTTTTAATCAAAACTACTCATACTAAATAAACTGTGTATTTAGTACTTGCCGTGTTCTGACACAGACCCCTTAATTTACTCAAGCCTATCACATGGCAGAGCTATTGTACAGATGATACAGGCTATGACAGGCTTAAAGTTTCTGCGTATAATCACAGCCTGTACTCATCAGTGCGGAGGCAGCTTTTCCTACTTACCACTTCATATTTTTTCTTCCATATCTCAGCTCACGCAGAGACACCTGTTGAAAAAAGAATTCTTATTTAAGACTCAGATATTGCATTGCTGACGGTATGCTCCACATATGACAGACAATGGATAAGACAAAGAGTCGAAACAAATTTTCCAATCACATGCAAGATGAATGTAAGGGATAAAAAACAGGATGACAAAGCCTGTGCCACTATCAAAAAAGTAAACCAATTTGTGGGGTGGGACAAAAGCTGTCACGGAGAAGAATCTGATTTGAGAGCAACCATCTCCTTTCATTTCCGGTTCTGGTTAAAAAGCTTCGTTTAACTGCTCAGGTATTAACATCAGTTTTAGTTCTTTTAATGAATGCAATGTTAATTTTTGCGTTAGGGAGTGATTTTCGAAGTCACTAGTTAACTTTAATTAGCGGCTTTAGGGGGCCGATGCATTTATCCGGGGGGTTAGACAGGGCAGGTTTACTTTTTTAAGTGTAAGTAACTTAATTTATGACTGGCATTCGCAACATTAGAGTTATTATTAGGGTTACCTGCTTAACGTTTAGTCATCCTTTCAGTCTCTTTATACGCGTCGGCATTCAGCTCTAACAGTCACAGAAGAAAGTTCAGGTCTCTAAAAAGTAGTGACTTTCAATAGCTGATATTTAAAAGCATTGGTATTACAACACAAACCCTGATGTTCAATGGAAGAAGAATAAAGGTAGCAGAAACAGAGCAATCTAAATGTATCCCATTCACTCCAATGAGTGATGAAACATTGTGAATATCTGCCATATTCACATACTTTGTGTATACTGGCTAACACCAATGGCTGAAGGCATTTAGACAGTCTTATTGTAATACGGGTTTGTTCTTACCTCCTGAATCTCCATATCATGCACGGAGTCACGCTAGTGCAAACAAGTCAGAGTTTTTGTTTAATAAGGTCAAGCTTAAAGAATACGTTTAAAAAAGTCAATTTATTGATCTAAACAGTTGGTTTCCATTAACACCTTAAACATTTAAATAACGAATCAAGATTCAATGAACAATTTAGTGCTAGTGTTAAAATTATTTAACAAAGTTGAAACTGTATTAATGCAGCTTCTCTATTGTTACACAAAACGACTCGACAACCTCTCTAAAGTTCCTTTTTGTTAACTTCCTTTGTTACGTAAATGTATATATATGTATGTATATATATGTATATAAAAAAACAAACATATTAGCAGTTTCCTCAACTAAAACAGGCATTTATTACTAAAAACATGTATGTACTTATCTAATTTTACAAAAATGATGTCAGTTCTATTAACAAATTATGGCAACAAAAATTTAACAATTATGGTCACCTATTTAGAGAAGCTTACACAAGGTGCTTTATGTTCTTTTTATTACATATTTATGTACAAATACAGGCTACACACAAAGCAGAGCACTTGTAGGTAGCTACATACATATCTGATTGCTTTCAATCCCAATACTGATATCAAAATCAAATATACAAACTCATTATTTACTGTCATCAAATCAAGAAATATTAAGAAAGATGTTATGTACAATATGGGTGTCTAATACTTAAGGGTAGCAGTTTTTGACTTGGTGAAATGGTAGCCAAGAACAAGGAAGCATCACTTCGTAGGCAACTCCATGCTTTAGATTCCGGGGAGCAAACAAAAAAACATCTAAGTAGCATTCCAATGAAAGTGTTTCGTTTATGCAGGATCCTTGCCAGATCTAGATTGTGTTTCTTAGATGTGTTCTATAAATAAGTCATGTTATCAAAACAAGAGAAGGGACCATATGCTGTAAGCACTTTCTTGCTCCTTAATTAGGGGAGGTTAGATTTGGAGTTCTGTTAGATTATTAAGTCAGGTTGCCAGTAAGGGGAGGTCACCGATTTAGAGCACCTTTAATATCTACCATAGGGGTGTTCTCTGTATCCCCCTCGTGTAAGTCTTGCTGTCGGAGCTTTGCGGCTTGGCCGAGGCTGAGTCCACTCCTCTTCTGCTACAGGTAAAATGACCACAAGACATTATAAGCAGTGAAAATCTGTATCAGTGCCTGAAGAAATCAAACAGACAATGCATCTATTTACCTATTCAGTCATGAACATTTTTAACATGAGCATCTGAAAAAAAGACACCTAAAAATAGACTCATATCATGTCAGCTCATTTAAAAGCTTCATTGTCTGGCAGATGCTGGTAAATTATTTTAACAGCTTGGACTGTGCCCTGTTTTATATACTGCCGTGTATTACTGTACGCATCATTCTTTTACTTGATGTAAAGTTGTGTTCTTGGTTATAGCTGTTGTCTTTTTTGCACATGTCTGAGATTGCAGCTAAAGTGGCTACACTGGTACACAGGGCTGAGTAATGAAGGAATACATGTGAAGGCATTATGTAATAAGGATACAAAAAATGTAACAGTATTTTAATACAGTTCCAGCAGGAACATAATGAAAAATAGGGTGACTAACAGCAGGATTACAGTCAAACCGCATGCATAAAAACGTGCTGCCTTTGCCGAAATTGCTGTTCTGAATGATAAATATGTCAATTTGATTGTGTAGATATGAAGACTTTTTTGCTTTGAGAAGAACAGTGGAGGGAGGGTCCTGCTGCCAGCAGAGAATTCTGACTAACAAGCAGCAGTTTGCAGCCTTTCATTCACCCAATCTACAAAGTTTTTGCTGAGGATATGAGAATCAGGCATTTCCACACTGCCAGATTCTACAGCAGCAAACTGATCTGGAAGTAAACTATTTTATTCTTGTTTGTTGCCTTATAAAACTCTACTGTTTGACTGAAAATAAATCAAACATCGTCAACTTGCCAGATTCTAAACCTGAAGTGAGCTAACATTTACTAACAGCTCCGAAATATGAAAAGAAAGCAAAGTCTTGTGAGTGGCAAAGTTAGTTTCACTTTCACATAAAGGATTTCTTTCTTCAATCACTTTCAAATGATGGTTACAAAATGCTAATATGTGTAAACTATAATTATGTGACACTAAGACATTCAGCTCCCACTTAGTATTCGTGTGATTAATGGCTTTGTAAACATTTTAAACTCACTGACTTCTGTAGACTACTGAAACTGCTAAAGCAGCATCTACCGGTTACACGCAATTGGTGAACACTGAAGTAAACGACAAACCAATATGAAGCCAACCAGTATAGGCCTTTCAGCAGACAGAACACAACTGGTGGCCTGTTAGAGTTTTTAGAATGACCTCTATTTATAATTATTGTTGATGAGGGGTCTCAAAATAAGATATCTACCACATTGATCTTTTGACTTCGGTATAATAAGTAGCATTTTTTAATAAATAAGGCAAAACATGTAGTTTGTAACATGACTTGCATTTGCATAGTTGTTGAACTCTGTAAATTGAATCGGTGATTACTAGTTTCCCAGTGTTTTAGTCTCAGAGCTTTTAGCCTCAGTGTACTAAAATGTTTCATTTTCCTGTTAAGATTTCTCCTGGGGAGCTATCCCTTATTTTCTGTCTTGTAACCCGAAGAGGCAGGTTATCCGAAAGTACGTCAAAAGTAATGATTACATTAATCGTTTGAATTAGGTAATAGATTTAATTTTTAATTCAGAATCTGTAATCTATAATGGAATACATTCTTAAAGTAACCCTCCCAATCCTGCTGGAACATTTACAGAAAGGTTTATTAACTCCTCTTAGGCTCATTATTCAGTAACTACATGGACTGCAATACTAACTGGCTGGGTTATTCTTAGGTTATAGAAGCGTATAGTAAAACCTTTAATCCGCCAGTGAATCCTGGCCATTTAAGGGGTTAATGTGTATATTCCTTGTAAATCTAAACTGAATAAATGAATTAAAATCTCCTGCTTGTTTGAAGGATATGTCCTGTGCTGTGCTCTTAGCAGTTTGGGAAATGGGGTCCTAAATCTCAGGTGTAATTCCTGGGCCAGCTATGGGTATGTTTCAACAAGATTAGATTGAGACTTCTTATCTGACTTAGCATGGACATAATATAGCAATATCAGTATTAAACCTGGGCAAGGATCAAGAACGTTGTTGGCTGATCAAGTGAACAGCAAACATGAGTGTGAAGTTCAGCTCTATCCACATTTGCCTTTGTCCGTTTTCACTTTTCGCATCTGAAGAGTATGCAATGTCACAGTGCCCTAATTATCAGTTAGCAGCGGCTGAGCAGATGAGGCATGAATTCCTGGCTGAGCTCGCACTATGACCCAGCTGTCATATAAATACAGTAGGTGCTGGGAATCGATGCTCCATTAGGCTCCATGAGCGTGCTCAGTGGGCCATCCACAAAACAATCAGCCCACCTTCAGGGCAAGGAACCCTAACGCTCTTTGCAGCTAACTTGATGTTTCCATTGCAGCTTGGCAGTGGGATTCCAGAGAAGACTGGAGAGCAGCATTACTGGCGCTGCTTCAAGAAACAGAAACCTTAATATTCAATCTACTGAATAAGAGTAAACCAACCAAAGCTATTCGCTACAGTAGATGAAATTGGATTGTTTGTCCCCTCACAGCTGCCTGGCTGTGAAAAGCTGGCCCTGACCACGGCACCTCGTTACCATTCAAATGACATTACAAGCGCGGCTCTCACGGCACGGCTGAGATTTCGGTTCCATGTCACAGAATTTTTATGGGGCATAAAATCAAATCATTGCTCTCTTGTTTTTTTTTGTGCCGTCCGCACTGTGAAACTCCAGTGCACGTGTTTGCCGTGCTGCAAAGGGAATGGGCAAGCAGGCACACAGTGTGAAAGTGGCTTCAGTGGAGAACAGCAGAGCCCCTGCCAAGAGCAGCTGGATTTCTGGTTTCAGACGTAAGTCGGTGAGGGCAGCTGTTCAAAAGGCAGAGCAGCGTCTGAAAGGCCACAGTCCCTCTCTCAGCGGGCAGCAAGGCCTCCAGCCCTGCTCTGGCTTCGCTCCCCAATTTCGAGTGCATCTTAAAGCCACCCCTGGAGCAACCCAGCAAGGTAAGATGGCTACCGCAGAGCGTAGCGCCCTGACTGTTTGGCCACTGGCAGAAACAGGAGGTTTTTTTTTTTCTTATCTTTCTGCTGCGAGCAATTTAACACTACCGTGGGAAATGACAGAAGAAAGGCCACATGTACCTGACAAGGGCAACGAGCCATTTCTGAGTTTACGCTTGCTAGCTATGGATGCTAGCACTGTTAATCCTTTAAGAAAGAGGCAGAAAGCAACTATTTCTGCCTTTTAATCTACGCCTCTCCTTTAAGAATGTAAGCTGAACATTCCTAACTCCTTTTAAAACTACGATTTTGAGCAAGCAAATGTTTGAATAGGACTAAACTTCACACTTCAGTTGCTTTTTATTTTTTACTCAAAAGAAAAAATCAATAATTAGCCCCTGGCTATGTGAATTCCATTCTGAATGTGTGCCTTATCACATGACGAATACAGAATACGTCCAACAATAAAGACAGCACGGTGCTTCTTTTATAGTGGTACAAAACACTGTAGCAAATAGAAAGCTCCAGTTCTAGAGGTGTAACAGGGCATTATGACATTGTGATGCAAGACTGTGACAATGCGATGTGGAGACTAGACGTTCTATTTATTACACCATCTAATGTAGTTGTATTGTTTGCAAATCAAAGCTATAGTGTCATTAATAAGTTGTGCAAGAGCATGATCATAGTCATAATTTTCCTTAATTTTAATTTGATTGGAAATAACATAACAATACTGAATGGTGAACCCAATATTGTGAACTGAATCAAAGGCAGAGTGTATCATTATACCCCTATCAAGCTGATTGATTGTACTGCAGCCAAATCTCCTAACTACTCTCAGTGCAGATTGTACTCAGTTAAAGGTGACAGCCAAAGTCTCTGAACATATTACTGACAATACCTCAAAAAAGATTAAAAGTATTAGGTGGAGGACCAACAGCAGGCAGCTGTATATGGTGTGCCATTCACCAAGGTTGACACAGGACCCTGTAAGCTGTTACATACTTCCTCCAGCAAGCTTAAATAAAAAGTTGAGTCCACTAAAGATGACTCATGCTGCCTCAGATAACCCACTGTGCAGTGTGTTTCACTGAGCTGGGCTTTTAAATGTGTAGGGGGTAGGAAAGCTCCCTAAACGACTTGTGGGTGTTACAATATCCATCTGGGTGTTTGGTTATTCTGTATTAATAGCAGTGTTACAAATTAAACAAGAGACATGCCAAGGGACTACTGAGAAACAGTGAAAAGAAAACAAAGCTCCAATGATAAATGTCTGTCACTGCCCATCCTACATTGACAGATTGATTTTGTTATTGTTTCTTAATGCCTCAAAAAGGAATGGCTGAAACTGCCACAGCGTTCGCTCTGAGCTTAAGAAGAGAGCATGGTAAATGGAAATGCTGTACTTTTAAGAATGGGCTGCAATTCAAACGCCTTTGTTATTACAACTAAAAAACTGGCATACATGCAGCAATCCTTAAGCAGAGCTTTAATGCTTATACTTTAATACCTAATATTGCTTTTAACTCCCTCTGCACATTAAGTAGCATGGCTGTTGTTTCTTGTAAATAACAGTCATAAAATCTGTGTGTATCTGCATGTGCATTTCTTTGAATATTTCAAAATCTAATTACAGAGGAAGACACACATTCCTCCCTTGGCTTTCTTAACTCATTACGCAACAAAAGAAATGGGTCTTTACCGTAATCGTTGTAGTTATCATCATTGGTCCCATGTCCATATTCGTAATATTCTGAAACACTGCAATAATACAAAATTATATTTCAGAAAATGGAAAATGCATGCACACCAAACAGGCACTGAATTTACTTAAGCCAAATGTGCTTATCATTTATGGATGTATAAAATATACAACATCAACACATTTACTGCCAAAAGTAAGTAAACTAAAAGATAAAATTGTTATGATGTAATATATTATGTAATATATTTTATTCATATGGAAATTATGTGCAAAATTCAGCACTTTTTTCAGTGTATGGGAGATTGTCATCAAGTTGTGAACATGTACATCATCAGATATATGGAACTTTCTACCGAATTAATTCAAACTGCAGACCCACATTAAAAAATAATAAAAAAACAAGTGTTGTTCAGACTTTAAATATTTGCAAGGATTATGCTTTGATCTATTTAAACCCAAGACATTAATTGAGACAGTAATAACATTTGACTGACATGATTTATCATGTCACTAACAAAATACAGTTTTAGTCTATAGGCGGAGGCTTATTTTAGTCACACCCTGCATTTCAGAGCAGGAAGTGAGACTGCATCCCTGTCCCTCATGGCCACATGGTGAGCAGTTAAATCACAATCACTTCAGAAACATTTGGTAAAGTTTCAGTAGTGTTATGACTGTTTTGGTAGTGACAAAATGGAATATATATTAGTAAAATAAATATAATTAAGGTATAGGATCACTCAAGTGTTTTTAACACTAACTTTGATCCATATATCAAGTTGACGTATACATGTACCATAAAGCACTTGAGTTGCAGAATACTGTAGTAAAGCCGATATGGAATATGACAGAGTAGACAGACTCAGTAAAGAAGAGTGCCATTCTGAATAAGTCTGAATACCTTTTAGACTGGTTGTTGTAGCTGTCGTCGTAAGCCTCGTAACTCTGGTCATCATATTCCCCGTCATATCCGTCATCATAGCCCTAAAAGCACAAAAACACGCAGGGTTAATCTCAACAGAGAAAACTCACATACATCAGGACAGATGCCATCTCCACACAGCACTGTAATTGTTTAGGGTTGAAAAATCAATGTTTAATTACGCTGCGAAAGGATTTCCCTTATAAATATACTCCCAGCGTGAGGGGAGTGACACAGCTGAATCATGTCCAACACAAAATATTGATTGTATGCAGGGACAATTGTTTCATTTGCCATGTCGGAGAGAGCGAGGTTAGCAGTTGACCCCCAGCCCAGATTAATACAGTATCGCTGACAGCCACAACAATAAATACCTTATCACTTAATAAGACGCCTGTCCAACTTATTTACATTAAAATGTGGCTGGTGCACTCTTAAAAACAGAGGTTCTTAAATGGTTCTTGGCTTGGATATATGGTTCTAGGGAGAAACCTTTTTATTAGTACACAACTGTTACATTGTGTGGATGTTCTTTAAACTTAAAAAAAGGTTCATCAGTTTTGCTTTGAATGATCCTGTAAATTAATGTTTACTTTATTACAACAAATGATTGAACATTCCATTTTATCACTAACAAAATAATCATATCACCTCCAAAACTTTAGTAATTGTTTCAGTAGTGACTGTTTCAGTTGTGATGATTTTAGCTAATTTTGATAGCTGTACACACATAAAATCATAATATTTTTCATTAAAACACAAAAACATTTACTTAATTGCAGAACATGTGTTTCGGTAGTGACAATTCTTAGTGTAACACTGATATTCAAACCTTGTATATATTCAGACAAATTTACTTCAAAACAGTGGAATCTAACTGCTCACCTTCTCACCATGAGGGACAGAGATGTAGTCTCACTTCCTGCTCTAAAATGCAAGGGTATGGCTAAAATAAGGCTCCGCCTATGGACTAAGTCTCTTTGTGTTTTGGCAATGACATGAAAATGTGGGACAGCATTTTTTAATAAAAGTTTTTTTATTTATAAATTAAACTCATGATAAATCTAAATGTTCCAATGTCACTTTAAAAGAAATCAAAAAGATCATTTAAAAAACAACAGAAAAAACGCAAAAAAAGGAAGTATTATTTTCACAAGTTAAAAATCAGGGTTTAGAGTTTAGGACTGACACCTCCCAAAAGAAAGTACCCTATAAATGATGATTTATAATGTATATATTTAGATTATTACTATCTCAATTAATGTCTTGGGTTTAAATAGATCATAATATAATCCTTGCAAATATCTAAGGTCTGAATACATAGTTGTTAATTATATTGTTTTTTAACTAATTTGGTAGAATGGTCTAGATACAGAAGTGATTCTTTCAAGTGGTTCTTCTATGACATGCATCTTTATTTCATAAACTACCCCCCCCCCCAAAAAAACTTATCTATTTATGCAATAACCAATAAACAAAATAAATAAATGATCAGATCCCTTCTGATTTGATGGCACAAGCTTTATTTTGTACTTGACCTTGATGGAACAGCATAGAAAAGCTGTCTTTATGCTGCATTTTGTCTAATCAAACCCTTAATACTACCCAGACCAGACAGTTTGTTAGCAATGTAGCACCACAACAGAGGCCATCCATTAATGACCACCAATACAAGCACTGGACTTTAATGAGATTATATCATTAAAAGGAAATTGGTAGAAAATTTTTGGCTGACATAATTTATACCACAAGCATGTTCTCAGATGCTCTGCTATGGTTTTAAATGTGTAAATGAAGTGTAATCTGCAGAGTCTGGTCCTCTGAGATCCCACTGAAAATATTCAAGTGCTTTTTTTATTGAAACAGATTTGCCTCATGCAAGCGACATCTTAGCACCCCAAAAACTGGTCATTTTCTATTATTAAAAATGTTGCTAAAAATGTTTTAAAAAAACAAAATAAGAATATAGCCGCAAGCGGCAATGAGCGGGTCCGAGCACTAATAAGCCCAAGAAGCTCTCATGCACTTTGAGCCAAGCAGGCCCAATCAGGCCTAATGCAGTTTGGGCCTTCGAGTCAGAGAGGCTGAAAAGAAGTCTGAGTTAATCTAAAGGCCTTCATTTGTCATGAACAATGCAGGGGGCTTTAAACCTAATATATGTTTACATTTCAATTTACTGATCTACAAAGGTTTGAAGAAATACATGAGTAATGGTAAGATTTCTGTCTTTGTTGCGTTTGCAAAGTATTTTGTTTCTCCATGTTAAAGCCTTTGATAAGCATGACATAAACAGACCCAATGGACCCATAAGGGCCCTTTTAGCATAAAGGACCACAGTGAAAGTGGGTCAGAATTGGTCCAAAGGTCTCCACATGTTATGAAAATTGATCAGGGACATTCATCAAAGATGTTCTCTGAGTTTTATTCAGATTGACCTCTTGACCTTGGTATAATAAGCTGTAGTCTTTAAATGAATAATTCAAAATACCAGAAAAGGAGTCCAATTTATGACACAACATGTAATTACAAAGTTATTCAGATCAGTGAACTGAATCAAATGACACCTCTTATTTATCTGTAGACTTTGTAGTGTTGTTGTAACAACACTTTTAAAGATTTTAGGTGTTTTTCAGTGCTAAAGCGCCCCCTATTGGTCAATCAGGATCAAATTTTGCAAGCCATATCAGAGTCTCAATTTATAAACATATTTACAATTTTGAGATTATCGGACCAAGGACTGATGAGTTATAGCAATTAAAGCTAGCAATGCTATGGCTGCAATGATTTAGTGATGGAGGGAGACCACAATGAGCAAAAAATGGAAAATGTGCTGGATAATTATTTACCTAGAGAGGCTACAGAGTATTTCTAGACCAGTTTTGAGAAGTTAGCTTCAAATTCCACGGACTAGTTCGAAAAGTGCTAATTTCAAACAGTTAACGATTGAAAAAAAACTATGCACTTTTTTTAAAACACTTCTAATGAAAAAATGGTTTGGAACACTGCACTGCATGAGGGCATCTAAGTTATTTGACCAAAAATGTACAAGATATACTTGATTTTCAGTAATAGCGCCCCCCAGTGGCCAAATATTTTGAAACTTCACAGGTTGTTAGAGGATGGTGAGATAGTAATAGATCAAGTATCATGAGGATTGGCCAATGCTAAGCCTGTCAAATGGCTGCTGAAAGCTTATTGGCCAATGGCGGCCATAAATTTAAATATTTCGAAGTGTCCTGAAAGATTCACTTATAGTCTTTGTAATAGATGGTACTTGCAAAGTTTCAACTTGATCGAATGTACGGATGCTGAGAAACAGCTATGTAGCATTTACAGCGCCCCCTAATGACCTATGCGCACAAAAATTGATAGATGTCCTCAGAGTCTCTTTAGGAATAAGCCTGTCAAGTTTAAATTTTTTGGGTGAAGGATTCTCGAGTTTACAGATTTTTCAATTAAATAAGAATTATTTTGATTTTTCCAGAAGGATCAATTTGCATATGGCAGCCATTTTGATTACAAAATTAAAAATGTGCTGGATAATTATTGATGTTCAGACTGTCTTGAATTTTTTGACACTAAAAACATGAGGATAGGATGAAAACTGAAGGACAAGTTCGCAAAAGTAGTTTTCGCATATTATGCAAATTAGCTCAAAATCTAAGTAGGCGGAGCTTAATGGTCCAAATTACAAAGTTGTTTTGTTGTACCCAAGGAATCAGGAAAAAATGTGTCTTGTCTGTCAAAAATCTGGGGAAGGAGTTAAAAAGCCAAACCCGTTGTGTTGCACAATAGCGCCACCTTTAGGCCGATTGGGCTCATGTCGCGCGCCTGAGTAGCGGGAGGGACTACTACCTATTGACCAAGTATCATGTCTCTGGGACTTACGGTTTGGTCTGGGCGATTCGTTTTATCGGAGAAAAAGAAGAAGAAGAAGAAGAAGAGAAAAACTCAAACTAACAAAACTAACAAAAAACTCAAAAACTAACAAAAACAATAGGGTCCTACGCACTTGCGTGCTTGGACCCTAATAAGACACAAGCTGTTGCAGTGTCTCCTGATTACTCCTCATGTATACACAGCATTAAGCTGTTAAGCCAAGAATTTTCCCATATTAAAGGGCCCACATTATGGGCAACCACATTTTCAACACTTTTCAGAAATAACAGTCTGATGTAGCATGTAATTACTGTTAACATGTCAAAACACAATGTTTAATCCCCAGTCAATGCAGTTCATTCGAGAAAAAGCAGCATGTTTACAAGTTATTGTTATTGTGATGTCACAAAAATCTACACATTAACATACACTCACCTATTCATTTTACAGCTGTTTAGCCCATGTGTTCACACAAAATGTATAAGGAGACTGCTTTTTAAACAAGGCACAATACAGGGCAGCCATTCAGAATAGAGCTCATTTACATATCACTCTTAAAGGAACAGTAACAAGAAACGGTCTGTTTAATTTAAAGGATAAATAGAGGAGATAAATAGAGGAAATTGCCATGTAAAAATGAAGTATGACTGTTTTTGTAACATAAAATCACATATATGTTGTAAGCAGACAAAATATAAGAAAAATGTAGGATATGGAGCCCTTAAACACTTGTGTCATATTTCGCCATGTCTGCAAGTAAATATTCTCATGTTACTAAAGAGCTTGACATAGTATGCAAATATTTTTTCAAGTTTCAAGATGTATTATTCACTTCTAGTCACACTGAATATAAGGAGTATTTCATCCCAGACTGTTTTTGAATAAGACTTTAAATCTAAGGGCTAAAGAGAGGTTGGAAGATATATTGGGAAATGGAACTGTTATGGTACATTAAACTACATGAGCAAAAAGTAGAATATGGGCCCTTTAATATCTCACTACAGAGTCACTGCAACTCACTGCAAAAGCAAAGGCTTAAAAAAAACATCACCTCTAAAATGGCCTATATGCACATTTGCTGCGGTCTCTGAGAGTGAACTAATCCTAATGAGGCTGCTTCAGCATTCCTGAGTATGGGTTTGAATTCATCAATAGTCATGTGGAGCACCCTGCCAGCTGAATG